TCTATCAATCTATCTATCTATCTATCTATCTCTCTATCTCTCTATCTCTCTATCTCTCTATCTCTCTATCTATCTATCTCTCTGTCTCTCTGTCTATCTATCTCTCTGTCTCTCTGTCTATCCATCAATCTATCTACCTATCTATCTATCTCTCTCTCTCTCTATCTCTCTCTCTCTCTCTTTCTGTCTCTCTCTCTGTCTATCTATCTCTCTGTCTATCTCTCTCTCTCTCTATCTATCTATCTATCTATCTATCTCTCTCTCTCTCTCTATCTATCTCTCTCTCTCTCTCTGTCTGGCTGCCTGCCTGCCTGGCTGGCTGTCTGTCTGTCTGACTGCCTGTCTGCCTGGCTGGCTGGCTGGCTGTCTGTCTGTCTGTCTGTCTGTTTATATATTTGTCTTCGCATGCATAGTGCTGCAGGCCTTGCTCGTTTTCCTGATTGCCCCCAAGCGATTCATGGAAACCCTGGTCGTGCCGCTGCACCCTGGCAGGCCCCAAGACCTAGTGGACCATATTTGTTGTGACAGGATCTCTCGAGCATGTCTTCTTTGAACATTTTGAACTCGGCTTTATCTCTTTTCATCTCATTTTTCAATCTCTCGGCTTCCAGTGGAACGTGAGTGGAATGCGAGCTTTCCAGTTGTTGCTAGGCCGTGAGCCACAGAGACTTTTTAGTCCTGCCGATTACACAGAAACACCGAGATGCACCAACAGCACCTGGAGGGTGTTATGGTGTTTCCATGTTTTTATATGGAGACTTTGAAACTCCCGGGTTCAGACGCCTCATGATTTGATCATGATTTTTTGATCCGGAATCCTGGGCAACAAAAACTTGTGTCATACCTTGTAGATTGTTTGAACCTGGGGATTGTGCCCAAAGCACACCTGTTGATATCGGCGCCAAAGTCACTCGGTCTTTGAGGTGAAATTTGATCAAAGAACTCTTGTTTCTGCAATTTGCTTTTGATATCTTTTGAGCCCGAACACGGAAAACCAGCGGACCTGCTATGCATGTCCTTGGCATCCTCCCAGGGTGCACTTTAACATGTCTTTGTACTCATCTTCCAGTAGACGTTGCATCAATTTTTCTGACACCTGGTATTTCTGACCTATATTGCATTGATCTTCACAAGTCTCCGCAAGGATGTGTATGTTGTGACGGAGTCTTCCTTTGGACTTCGAGGACGTGTCGATATTTTTCTGGGAAGCAGAAACTGACGTGTCGTGGTGCAAAACAACAGCCAGGAGATGCGAAACCGATGCACTTTAGCAGGCAGGGCTGTCGGTGCTGTCGGTGCTGGCAGGGCTGGCACTTCTGGTTGCTGAAAGCCAGTTGTTTTTTTTATTTGCCTTGTGCCAGGCAGCGAGAACGCTTCAAAGACTTCCTTCCTCAAATAGAGCATGTCCGGAGATCCCAGTTCTTTGAACTGGAAGTCACTGGAGGATACTGGAAGTCATGCACTCATTTGTGGTCACTCTGACGATCTCCGCCTCTCCCCGACTCTCCTAACATCATCCTGAGGTTATACTGGACAATTGTTCCAAGTACTCGCGAGAAGTGGAAAAATGCGACAAGAGCAGAAACCTCAGCAGGTTTTCTGCCTATTCTCAATTCTCATCCTTGATCAATTCGGTTGATCGATCATAATTGATTTGGCGCTGATTTAGCACCACAGATACCACAGGAACTCAAAGAGAAAGAGGAGAGGTGGTGCAAGTGCCTTAGCCTGTCATGACTTGTCAGCATTTGAGATGCCTCAGCATGGCTGAATTTTGCCTGAACGCCCTGAAGTTGCCGACTTTTCCGACTGAGACTATGTTCTCTGCAGAGGGCATCCAACGGATTTGCGTTCTCAAGACGCTGATTGAGAGGCTGCTGCCAGTGGGCTCTTTGAAACTTCTCCGTGTACATCAAGTGAGCACTGTTTCGTACCAGCAACAAAATCTAGCCAGATGGGGACGAATCATCTGGGTATGTGCAGATATATTTACCATTTACATAATGTTTATGTTCATGTTTGTACAATGTTTGCACTGCTTTGTACTGTATTTATACGTTTGTACCATGTTATACTCATCATTTCCATCACTTCTCTGCGAAGTGCAACGTGCTCGGCGCTTCGCGAAGCGCACCGCGGCGCCCCTCGAGGCGCCCTGAGATCCCGGACGATGCCCTGGTGATCTTCTCCGACTTGGACGAGGTACCGTCGGCCAAAGCACGGATCTCAGCGAAAAAGGGCACCGGAAAATTCTCCGAAAAGCGAAAAGTGATGTCTTTCATCGGTTTCATGGCAGCCATGGCAGCTACATATAAACACTATTGAACAATATTGAACATTAAACGAAGGTTCAGTCAAGTTGAGCCAATAGAAAATTCTAGTGTCCGGTCGTCAACATGGAATACAGTCCTGAGCAGAGGACTCCATACGAGATCAACTTGCACTGCAAACAAGGCCATCCAGATGCTGAGGGTTTGCAAGTCCCTGCCAGCAGCGAAGGCTCTTAGATGCTGAGGGTTTGCAAGTCCCTACTATTAGTAGGGAAGGCTCTTTTTAGACCTATTTGGAGAAAGCGCTGAAATTGCTTTCAGTATGTGCTGCAGCTTGTCATAGGAGGGACCTTGGATCCAAGAGCACTACCCAATGCCCTATAACCTGCGGGATCGGGCCCCAGATCTCCTTAGATCTCCTTAGATGGTAAAACATGTAAATAATTATATATAAATAATATTAAGTAAATACATATAATTCAATATGATAATATGTGTATCAAGACATCAAGATGTCAATTTGCTGGGCACAGCCATTCCGTGTGTGAGATTTCAGGTCGGATGCAAAGCCAAAAGAGGGACGCAGCCTGCAACCTACTGGGACTGTCTACGGTTGGCAAGAACTGGACCTTGCCGTGTTTCTGGTGGACTGGCATGGTTTGAGGCTGCATATGCAAGGGGTCCCTGCCTTGATTGCCCACCCCTTCTTGGACGGAAGTTTGGACAATGCATGGGGATTTTGGATTCTTTTGGTCTGGTTCAGATTCAACTTGGTCCAGCAGAGAATGTGGCAAAGCGGAGTTATTTTCAGGTTTTTGTCACAATGGGCTTCTTGCGCAGAAAAAAAACTTTGGCTTTAAGGTGCTCCTGCCGAACAAATATCACGGTCAATCACTTTGACATTTGGTCCCCACATTTGAACTTGAATGAGTCATTGCAGGTACAATGTGCGCCAGAATCGCATAGTGTGTTACCCTCGATTGCTCTTGCTGCTGATACGAGTAGTCCAGACATGATGATCCAGTATTGTTTGTGCTCGACCAGTTGGCTTTGCTGGCCATAGCAAATCTTGTTAAATTCCTCAGGCCGAAGGCTGGTATTCATCTTACCTATGCAGGCCTTGGAGTGGTTGTCCGGATGATTGCAGACTCCTTCAATTTGGACGGAGTGGCACTGAACATTTTCCAATGGAGGATCCAGGGCTGATGTGGACTACAAGCTGTTGCATCATGGTTGGAGCCTTCATGTTCCGAGCACAAACCAAATAATCAATTGCTTTGCATGCTGCTGGATTTGCGCCTCACAATTTCTGCCCAGAATACTGTAAGGAGAGAGTGGGCAGGCCAGCTTTCCTACATCATAGTGCAACATTGAGTGCTACAACAAGACCGTTCTTTTATGTTGTGAACGCTGGAGTCATGATGGTTGCAGCCAATCCACCGATCCCGCGCAGATCTTGGCAATGAAAGCTACCCCCAAAGGCAAACGGCTGAATTTTTGCAAGGCCTGGAATGTTTTATGAGGTGCTGAGTGGTGCAGTGCAGTTCTGAAGGATTTTCTTGTTCAGGTTTGTTTCCGCTTCAAAATCAGAGACTTCTTGGCTACATCCAGGTGGATCAGAAAACCGTTCTGGACATGGAGCAGCTACTTCGGGACAATCCTGCTCCTTGGGCAGGAAAATTAGATAGTTGGAACATGTTGGAACGGATTAGATACATTTAGATACAATCTTCACCCATTGAGCAGCAACAAGTCTGAGCAGTTGAAACATGTTGAAACATGTTTTTTTACAAGCGCTCTTTGCTTTTGCACCAAAGGCATCCAAAGACTGAGCAGTTGAGTCCACCGAGTCATCGCACTTAAGGTCTCTGTTGCAAGGGCCTGGGAGAGAAGAGGCCTCAGAGTCACCAAAGAAGGCTTCAACGGTAATGTACATCGATACAGGGTGGTTTGACATGGTTTGACTATAAATTCGGAGTGAATGTCTTAACATTCGCTTCTCTTGAGAAAACGTGAGCACAATACGAGCAGTGCCTTCACAATCCTTGGCAGAGAATCGAATCTGAGGCAAATCATCCATCCTTCACAAAGAGACGCAGTCACCAAGCGAACTTGCCAAATGTCAAGTGTCATGTGCTCAGCCGGATATTGGCAGACTCGACTGTATACAAATCAACGAACGTGTGTATACAATGCTTGTACACCTTTAGCCTTTTGCTTCGCTAAAAGTTAACCCACCGTTGGCACCATTCACAGCCATGCAAATCTAACATTGAACTCAGGCCCTGGGCGCTCCTCACTCACCCAGAGACGCATTTGGCATGTTTGACAGATTGATTTGATCGTTTGACATTGGTTGACGGATTGATTTGTCTGCGTCGAAATGTTGACTCTGCCACCTCTCCATGCCAGGCGCTATCCAGACTTTTGGGTGCGGGCTAGTTGACACTGACGAAACGGGTCAGCTGAAGAGCGGCGACCAGCTAGATGTTCGGAAAGCTCGATCATCCAATTGTTTACCAGAAAAAGACATACTCCGACTGCTATTGATGCCGGAAAGCTGTAAAAAATCAAGAGAGCCATAGTGAGCCCATGTGGTCCCTTTCCTTTCCTCATTTTCCTCGTTAATCTCGTTCTCGCTCGTTTGCACTTGAAACAGAAAGCTCAGCCACGCCTTGGAATTGGGTGCCGCAGCCATCACAGCAGATCTGTGGAGGCAGTTCAAAGGGACGTTGCCATACACTCAGTCAAAACAGCGTGGTGAAATCTTCGGAATGTGGGGAATTCATGGGTCTGAGATGGGTGAGATTGAGACTGCCGCAAATGTTTGTGGGAGCGTGTAGGTGAAAGGTTCTTGGAAAGGGATTTGCGATGTGCGTTTGGAACTTATGCCTGGATCACCAAAGCGATTCTCACACGTGGGAATGGATCAAGCCAATTTTTCCTCAGTATCCTCATGAGGCCCTCCTCGCCGTCCCTTGTAGCATGAATTAAATGCTTAAGCATCATGCCAAAGTGGCGTCCTAGCGTTCAGCCGTGATGCTCCACGGCCACTGGTTGAAATTTAGCAAATTGGCTGGGATGTTGTGCTGATGACCTGACTGCAAACGCCCAACAATTTACATTCTAACATGCTGTTTACGGCTGTATGAACAGTCAACGGTAGGCTTGTGTTTTTTTTTTTCCAGTAGCATTATCATGAGAAAGTCTCACATGCCAGGAAGGTGAAAAAAGCATTGCCAAATTTGTAATGTCTTTGTCAACACTGTATGCTACAGGCCCACCAGATGGCTATGTCTCAGATGCAACGGATGATTCGGACTCGCTTGACTTAGCGGGTCCTTCAGGACCTGCTCTTACTCGTGATTGTTGCATTGGGAGTACACACGAAATTGAATAGTTCCCCAACAGCAATAGCTTGGGGTTGTTTGCAACCGGTTGTAATGCAGTAGAATTCCGCATACCGTCCATACTGGTTCAAAGTGGCAGGAGCACACACCTTTGATGGTCATGGTACACCTGCCTTCGATAGGCGTGGAGGACCAATGCTTTAGCTGACCGTACATAACAGTCAGGGACATGATTCGGCCGACCTGACCGGAACGCTCGCAGCAAAGATGTCTTTTCAGCTGGTTGGAAAAACATGGCCCAAGACTGAAGACGGTATCATTTTCCAGTCCATTGTATGAGTATGGTATTCTCCAGCACTGTCTGATTTTTCCTCTCCTACTGCTATCGGTCTTGTTTGAGTCCTTCCTCTTGATCCCTGGTCTCTTAGACAGTCCTTTTCCATAGAATGCAGTAATTACTCAAGTTGACCACGTTGGTAGTGCATGTTCATGATGTATCACGATAGATGGTTTCGAAAGCTAGCTTCTGCTAGCTGAAGTCCCTCTTGCTTTAGCAAGGTATTGGGGGAGGGGCTGGAATCTCCAATCGCGTGAAACTTCATACTTAACTCCCACTCCCCCCCCGGCTGGCTGGTTCACAAGCAGTTTGGCCGTGGCTCAATCCCTCCCAGGGACACCGTTGGCATGTCACCACCACATCCCCATCATGCCAAGCTCCCTGCCAAGCTAGCTTTTGTCCCTTACCCCTGGGCCTCAAGTCAATTCTTCTTAACAGCTTCTTGACATGTGTTTAGACGTGATTTCGAAATCTTTGGAGGACCGGAAGTACCTCGAGGTCGAAGACGTTTCGGGGACCCGGACGATGTGGACCCAGACCTTGGAATGAGACAGGCGGCCCAGGCACTCAGCCAGATGGAGGCCCATAGGGCTGGTGGACATCTTCTGGGCCTGCAGGAGATCTCGGAGAATTACTTGGTAGTCTTGGCAAATTTGGAGAAGCGATTCTCCACTTGGAATCCCCAGGATCTGCAGAGCGAGTGGCTAGCCACGCAGCAGGAGCTCAGGGCAGTGCAAGAGGAATATGCTCTGGTGGTCGAGCAACGTCTAGATATGGAGCAGCGTCAAGCTGAGTTGGTTGAGACGCGACAAAAGTTGCTTGAGGAACTCGAGTACTGGCGAGATGCCCCAAAACGGGGATGCAGCATCTCGTAGCCTGGTTGGAAAAGGAGCGCGGTGCATCTCGCAGTGCCTTTCCCCTTAGGGCCATTGAACCATGGCTCTGCATGTTTATATCATTTTATAATATTTTATATATCTAGGTCCTGTTTTGTGCATGGCTCTTCAGGGCCAACATTCAAAAACCGATGGGAGGCGGAGGAAGGAGTACGAATGAGAAGGATGAATGATTAGCTTTAGCGTCACATGTCATATCTGAGCCACTAAACACGAATTCTTCGAAGCATGGTTATGTCCTGAGCAGCCCATAGCAAGGTCCTTTATCCCTTTCTACAAAACTGCAGCAAAGATCAGCAAAGCGTTAAAGTGGTCCAGTCTACCATGGGTCCACGGGTATCCTATAGCCCAAAGCTTTGAATCTGTTGGCTTTGATGATCTTCATGTAGCTGCTGAGGTCATGTTGGAATTCTTGCGAGGGAGCCTCCTTTGCAACACGGAGGAGTGTTAAGCTCAAGACAAGAAGTGGTAAGGGGTTGAGATGTTCCGCATTGCTTACTCTCTGGATGCTCATTGAGCATGTGAGTCTAGGCTACACATTCCGTTGGGAAGGGAACAGGCGACTTGTGGCTAGAGCTAGTTCGTTGAGAGGCACAGACAAGTCAATTTTTCAATGCAAATGCACAGATGCCTATACATGAATGACAACAATAGATATATAATAGTATATAATGATAATAGTATATAATGATAATATTACGTAATAATAATAACAATAATAATAACAGTGAATAACAATGAACATAACAATGAACATAACAATAATAATCATAAGGATAATCATCCGTACATAAAAATAATGATGATAATAATAATGATAATAATAAAAAAAATACAAAATAATAATAATTATGATAATAATAATAACAGTAAGGATAAATAATGATAATAATAGTAATAAACAATAATAACAACAATAACAACAATAATAACAATAATAGCAATAATAACAATAATAACAATAATAACAATCATAACAATAATAACAATAACAATAACAACAATGACAATAATAAATAGCAATAAACATACTGTTTTCAATTCCTTGAGCTTTGCATGGATTCCACAACTTCGCTGAGTAAGTCCACTGCAAGCCTTGCAGAGAGCTGCATAGATTGTCCAAGTGCGGAAGTGGAACCCGAGGCCTGCAGCGAAGCCTGTGAGAAGGCACAGCTTTGAGGATTGACAGATCTTGATAGGTCTTTAAATTCCTTCATAGTTCAACATCTTTTTTAAGGTAGAGGTGACGAACATTGACGAACTATCCTAGCCACATTATCACACACACACAAAAGTGAAGCAAAATTAAAATAAATTAAGCAATGACCTCACCGCATCACTCACTTGTCTTCCTGACTTCCTTGCTTGAAGCTTTGTTCATCAAAAGCGTTCCTTCCGAATCATTAGGGCTATTTGCTGCACTGGCACTCCAAGCAATCAACCCAGAAGGCAGGTGCTGGGCTTCAAGATGTGCAAGTGCTGTGATTGAACCATTTGGATCCATTTGGTTCTATCATATTGACATATATTGAAATGTTCCATTGTTCCACCCATAAATCGAGTTGCTTGCTTGGGAGTTTTCTTCAGCTTTCGCCAGGCCTGCAGAAGTGATCTCTTCCCAGGTGTGGCAATTTTGAAGAAGCATCTCGTTGAAGCAATGGGCTACTTCGAAGATCTTCCAGGGAAACTGCCAAACCACTTTGACCATGTAGCGTCCCAGCAACCTGGGATCAAAGATAGAGGGATGTTTTGTAGGCCTAGGCGGCCCAGGCCAACAAATATAACAAATGCTTTCAGTCCCTTGTTGCAGGGTGCCCCAGTGCTGGCAAAGAATGAGATTCCAACTGCGCTGCCCTGGGACCAACCCCCAAGACCAAAGAGGCTCGCACCATCTCGCAGCAGTGTCCTGAATTTGTTGCAATCAGCTGCAGCCTGCAGCCACAGACTTCTGGAAATCCGCAGAATATGCCAGCCTTGCAATGCCAGCTCTCAGGGACACAACGCCACTGAGAAATAGGTTTGAGCCTGTGGACATCGCAGATGTGCTGTTAGAGTTTTGTTCCGAGTACGGCACTTGGCTTCCCAAATTTCACCAAGGTCGCCAATGCAGTCCTATAGATCAACAACGTGCGAGCTTCAGGGTTTGCAAGCTTTTGGGCTTTTGGCTGTTAAGATGCATCACTTTTTCTCAATTGTGTGTATGAATGGAGAAACATGTGAAACATTTTAGACTCCAACATCATGGCACGTTTGAAATATAGTGTTTAAGGTCTTTGAGTCCACTGGGCACTGCCATTGCATTTGCCTGAGTTATGCAGAGAACATGGGCAAGGATGGACAGTTTGGAAATGCCTTCTAAATATTATCCGCATGCTTTTTGCATTATTTTTCTCAGAATTGCGCTATTTCATTTGTTGTTTCAGGATCGGCAGATGCTCGCCTACATGCACCATTGCGAATAAACACTCTTTCAGACTTTCAGATACTCATGGTCTGGTCAACAGGTGCAATAGGTTGGCTGCAAACCCTTTCGGATATAAGGCATGTTCAGGTGCTGCTCTGCAGGCAAGGCTGTGTCTATGAAGTTCTGTTGTTGAAGCAAGGACTGTGCTCTGAGAAAAGAGACATTTTTTTGGCTGCGAGTCGCAAGTCTGTTGGAAGGAAGATTCTCAGCCTGGTCGTGGACTGTATGTTGCCATGCAGAGAGGCTGGCTGAAGTCTTGTGCCACCCGCAAAGGCCTTGAGAGCGAAGTGATATCAAAGTGCCATTTGTTGAGAGATGTTGAGAGTACCCCCAGGGATCCCCTGGATCTTAGCGGGGCCAGTCTTGGCCTTTCGCTTCGTTTGTCAGGCCTTGGTCCTCGAGAGTCAAGAGATTCTCATGTTTGCAGCCTCAGTCGCCTTACCGGTTGGATTGTCGGATTGTCGAAAGTTTGGACAGCTCCAGCTGAAAGCTGCCAGTATTGGTGTGCTTGGGATCCAAAGCCCAAGCTTCGTTGTCCTCACTGTGCTTGCCCTGACAGACTTGAAACTGCAACTTTGATGGTCTCATGACTGCCAGCTCTGACTTCGAAACAGGCCAGAGACCGGCGTGGAGATGGCTCTCCACCTAGGTGCGCAGCCACCCGGGGATTTTGAATCTTTTTGCATCATCGTGGAATCATGGAAACATTCCTGACATTTCCGGATCAAGTACCAAGTTCTCTTTTTTTCCTCCCTAAAACGAAAGAACCAGAGAAGTACACCATATGGACAAGAAACGGTAGACTCAATAAACCATACACGGAAATGAAAAGGGCATGCAAGAGGAAGAAGGAACAAGGCACCCATGAAACGAAAACAGAAAAGATAAAGAAGGAGCAGAAAGGCGACGGGTAGTTAAGTCAACAACAGGCTCACGCAGATTAATTAACCGTTTATCGGTGCAACTCTTTCACAGGCCCAGCACTCCGGTGCAACAGCGTCGGGCTGTCCGGAATTCTACGGCGCCGGTGCTGTTGCCAAGAAGTGCCAGAGTTGATCCTTTTGCACTTGTCGGAGCTCGAAGTAGGCATGGTGCGTTTCTGTTCTGAGGTTCCCCCATGTGCAGCAGCACACTATGAGGGAATCCCTGAGGACTGCCAGCGCTGTGTGCTGGCTTCATTTTGTGCCTTTGCGAGGTATCTTTCTCAAGCCTCAGGCAATATAGGCAATCGTTTCCAGAGGATGTGGCAGGACTCCCTGGACATGTACATGCAGTCACTAGCGAGGCTCGCAAAGTGTTGCTTTGATATGCTTTGGTGAGGTCACAGTGGCCACAGGAGCAAGACCCACAGACTCTTCCGAAGTCACTCCGAAGCCAGGGGACTTCCGCGCAACGGCGCCCGCTCCCTCTTTATCCGCCGCCTTTCAAGAGGTGAGTACGAGGCCGATTGACTTCCATTTTCAGGGCTGACATAACGATGGCAAAAACATACAAAAACCCTAAAGTCACAAACATATCCATGAAGCAAGCCGTAGAAAGCTGATTGTTTGCCAAATCCTAGCCCAACAGGAAGAACAAAGTTTAAAAGTAGGGACCCCAAACGGTTAATTCACAGTGACAGCAAATGTGCTTGGGACATCGATCATCGGACCAACAAAAAACCGGTGTGAAACCGACCCATATGCGACATGCTGAGTCCACCTTCAGGTGGATGGGTGCAGAGTGAGCATCACAATGCGAAACAACGAGGTACGGAGTCGACAGGCATAGATTTTTGGGCAGGAAGCAAAATCGGTTTGGATCAGAATTAAATGTTGCTCAAGCATACTTAAGCCGTAGATGTTGGCCATTGAAATTTCTGAATTGCTCTACCCCCATCCCTACGTTTGGGCACCATGATTTGACTCGACCCTCAGCCTGAATGCGACTCCATCATACGCCAGCATGCAAAACTCTCAATCCCTGCAGGCCTTGGTCTACACAACCAACGGCAACGATGAGTTTGGCTCTGGTGAAACTTTGCAGAGGCCTTTGGGCTGATTGGTTCAAGGATGTTCCAAGATGCATCAAGATATGCCGGGTTTCAGATATGGCCAGCTTCAACTCTGGATATTATGATATATATATATATGTATAATTGTATTAATTAATTAGTTTTTTTTCTTCCGTAGTATTTTATAGGATTGTGAACGATGCTGAGCCATGGCTTCTTTTGGATCTTTTTGTGATCCCCAACCACTCGTAAGAACCTTCCAACTGGTCATGCAGCGCTTCGCAGTTACCTGCTGCGAGCAGCAGACCGAGCACTGGTGGGGCTGCCAGCGTGGTCGGGTTGCGCTACAGAAGCGGATCCACAAGCGACTTCATGCTTCATCATATTTCACCACGCGTCACCATACACCATCATACACCATCACGATCACCATCACGATCACCATCACGATCACCATCATGATCACCATCATGATCACCATCATGATCACCATCACGATCACCATCACGATCACCATCATGATCACCATCATGATCACCATCATGATCACCATCATGATCACCATCATGATCACCATCATGATCACCATGATCACGATCACGATGTATACCATGATCACGGTGATGATGATGATGATGATGATGATGATGATGGATTATAGACCAACCAGATGCAGCATGATTTTTGTGAGTGCCCATTGCCCAGGCTGCACGATCATCGTCCTTTAACCACCACGACGCCTTGGACCTTGGTGCATGTTTTCTGTCAGATCTTGTCAGTGTTTGACCTCCAACTCCACCTGCTTTTTATTTTTTCCAGGCAAACAGTAATAACATGTAATAAGCAGTAATTGTATGTTTTTTTTTCACCTTGAGCCTTTCCGAGGTCATGCCTCGAATTCCTTTTGGTCGGCCGTGTGGCCCTTGATGCGATAGTTTTGAAGGAAAGGAGAGAACTTCGACATTTTATCAGACGGTGACATTATTCAATGTCAAGTCCATAGCCTCCCAGGCCAAATTCAGGCAGCCCCTATGCGGGGGTACTTCTTCGAGGCTGGATCTGAAGTGCAAATGGACATCTATGGACATCTATGGACATCTTAATGACATCTACTAAGATTTCTAATGGTTTTCACCTTTGTCCAGTAGATCAAAGGTTGGCCATTGGCAAACCCAGCTCTGCGACAAGGGTAACGCCATGCTGAGGTCCTGACGGCGGAAGCTTTTTGCTTGGGAACAGTTTCTACAGTCAGAAGAGTGCTGGAGCCTCAGAACATCTCAGAACCTTGCAACAAAGAAGCCATGATAAGCCATGCATGATGCTGCATTAGCATTGTTGTGGCGTGATCTCAACTTTCATACTTCTTGGCCATTCTTGGCTCCTTGTTTTTCCCATTTTTTCCCTTGCTGTCCAAACTGAATTGTTTGCTAAGCTTTTTCTTTGCTGTTCCTGTTGACGCTGAGGTTCCCGATGTGAATCCACAAATGGAGGTGATCCAAACAGTTGCAACTCTCGCTTTCAGAGCAAATGCTAGACCTGCGACGACATGTTGACATATTGCGAACATAGACAGGGCCTACACTTGATGCACACGCCGGGGCCCTTGGATGTAAGCCACATTCACCAGCAATCTCACCAGCTTGACAATATACTTTGATATACTTTGATGTTTTTCTTGCAGACCCCAACTACATTTTTTTTTGAGTGCTAACATTGCTGATAACGCTGCAGTTGAGTAGGTGGCTAAGCTCTAATCTTCTTCTTAGGCAGCCAATGCTGCCAAGGCCTGACATGGAGACAGTTCATTCACTACATTGGATCAAAATCCCTTATTTGCATCGCATGTATTTGCATGTGATTGATCTGTATTCCAAGCGTTTTTTTTTTCCTGGTGATTTGCTGATTTATTTAGGTGTCATATTCGTTGTTTTCCCTGGGGTTTGCGCTTCGAAGGTCTCAAGCAGCACAAGGCTCATTCTACCTGGACCAGGCGGTGAGATGGCGGTTGAGGGCCAGGTATGGCCGTCCCATGTGACTCAAACATAACATGGTTGGACAATGTTGGAAAGAGGTTTTGACTCTTGATATACATCTGTCTATACTGTGTAAGTATCATGGGTCTAGAAGAAACCTTGGACACCTTCATCTTACCCAATTCTGGTCCCGGACTATAGGATTTGACATGTGGTTTGTTTGCCCATGCCCCACCCAGATGAGCGGCAGTGCAGCCGGTCTTGCTAAACCCTGAAGAATCAAGGGTGAAGTGGTGAAGTACTGTAGTTGCTGGAGCATGCCGGAGCTCCGTCTAGTTGGAAGATTTGACATGTCAGGGGGCAAACATCGGGTTGGTGTGTAAAGCAGTGGATTTTCACTCGTATGTCCTGGCAGGGATCAAGCTGGCGAAGCTTTGTTGATGCCTTAGAAATCTGAAGAACACTTGTGCATCAACCTCTTGCTTTGCTGCAGCCGTCCGTACTCAGGTTTCCGCAAACTTACAAGCTGGGGCACCTGGTGCATGAATTTACTCGGTAAGTTAGTAAGTTTTCGCGGAAAACTCGATAGTTGGCAGACTCTTTGACCTGGAGAAAACTGAACAAGACAAACTAAGAAACAGAGGAGAAAAACATGCACAATTTCATCTGGCTTTACTGACAGGGTGGCTACGTTGTTCCCTCGTTGCAGGCAGAGCCCTCAGATTTCCCGGCTACATGAAGTTACAGCTACATGAGATTGCTTTCGAGATTCTTAAAAACTTTGCATAGATTCATGTGATTTATACTGTACATAGTACATTGAGTACATTCGGTGACGATTCAATGATTTAAAAATTATTCTGAGGAATTAATTGAGTTAGACCACTTTCATGATCTTTTGCTATTTTCACTTTGCTCTTTTCAGATAAGGCTCCAGCAGGTCTCTATGGGCAACCAGCCTTCGTTTCTGTTTCTGGCTGAGAGAGTTCCGTGACTGTCCAAGGTAAAGGAAACACCAGCCTACCCATGCCTAGCCCGTACTTACTAGGACTTAGTACTTTATAGCCTGAAATACAGTGAAGCGCTTGGCTTTCTTCACCACCACATGACATAGTACGACGGTTTAAAGCTACAGTCCCCAAGACTCCAGCCTAGTGCCCTGCAAGAAAAAGTCCGAAATACTTTGAGTGTTTCAATATGTTTCAATGGAGTTCAATGACAGCGTACTACTGGTTAAGTCATATGTCCTCCTGATATGCAATTACGATGAAAGACCACGTTGCGGCCCTGACCCAGCTGCTCGATCTCGCACTTGCTATGCATCATGGCTAGCAGGGATGTGTCAGGACGTGTCAGGACGTGTCAGGTTTTAGAGTTTCAATCTTCTGCTCAATTGGCAGTAATCAGAGCTGTAGTCTCTTCGGCGCCTAGAGGGGCAGCCAGAGGCATCAGCATCTTCTGCATCGCTTCCATCCTAATTTGGCATGTGCAATGCGCAGCCAGCTACTTTTTGCCTGAAATCACTGAAACATACTTCAACTCAGGCTTTTTATACAACCAAAGTTCCATAAATTGGCTCGCACTTGTTTCTGGCACTGTTTTTGGACACTTCAACACTTCAAAGGCAAAACGCTGCATCATCCTATGCATGTCGATGTAACTTGCAGGAGCCAAGGAAAAACATGTTGCACCAGCGGAACATTGGCAGCTCTGCGTGTAAGTTGGTGCAACAGAATGCATTTGATCCGACAATATCCAACACATCTTGCAATGGCAGTTTATATGATTTTATATGCTCCACTTTGTCACTTCGTTCCCTGTGCATCCCTGTGCCAGCTTATATTCTCAGAGGATTTTAGGATGAGAATCTTCCCAGAGTGAAGCTGGCGCAAGTGCACAAGTCCGGGTCAAGGGCTGTGCTTGATGCTCAGTTGCTGGGGATCTGGCTTGATCTTTGACCAGTGCTGTGCTGGATGATTTTGTTTTTTGAAAATGGCATTATTATCGGATATTCCTTAGTGCCGGTAGAGTAAAAGGATTCCCAGATACTCCCCACACATTTCAGTATTATTTCAACTAGTGCATGCTGCATACTTGAATCATTTGAAGCTTCTTTCGACCTGTTTTTCTTGCTCACCACATAAATGTTCCACATTGGATTTTTCAAATTCGCAATGACATACCCCGTACTCCACTTCTTATTTGTAATCGTTTCTAGCTGTTTCTAATGAGTTTGCATCTTCTCCTCTTATTGCCCGTTCTTCTGCATTTTCTCTCAGTGTTCTGCGTTTCTGTTTCGATAGATTTGCCGGTTGATTCTTGCGAGGCGCTTGTGCTTCAGAGTGATGACGGCATGACAGGCGAGCAACTTCGAGTTACCAAGAGAAATAGCTCTCGGCTGACTCGGCTGTAGGGCATTGACGCGTTTGCAGCCAGGTATCGGTCAGCGGTGTCCGTCTCGGGGTCTGCATTTTGCCTGGGCTGTGCATGAGAACGACTAGGACCTACCAGACCCTACCGGGACCCTGACAGTTCTGCTGAGGGCGAGGCCTTCACCTGTCATGGACTTAGTTTTGGTGTCACCAAACGAGGTAACCGTCGCTCAACCAGACACTCTGGAATTTCTGCAAGTGGTTCGTAGACCCTCCTGATAAATGTGATAAGAACCAACTAGTAGCCCATGCGGTGCTTGTATTGTGGCTGATACGTTTTGCTTGGAAGACTGATGTGAGGTATGCCATCCTTCTACGGGTTTACTTTGTTTTACACGACATTCTGTTCCCGGAGTGTAGGATTATTTGTCGAACTATTTGGTCTCGGCATTTGCATAGCATTCCCAGATTTTGGAGTGTTCTTTCAAAATCTGTCCAAACTGTTGGCCCATGTGATCTCCTTTGTAACGTCTTCTGCTTCAAATAAGGCTGGAGCCAAAATTCCTCCTTCCAAGCTGAAGGGAAAGGAATTCCCCAAGGTGCTCCGAACATCTCCAAACCGGAATTCATTCGCTCTACAACTACACAGTCTACAAAGTCTACAGTCACCTACACACACACACACACACACTTTTTTCATCTTTTTTTAGCCACCTGGAGCCTCACACTGGCAGCGTCCCTTTCGAAGTCCAGGTGAAGAAGCTGCAGAAATTTTCTGTCCCTGCAGTTCCTTTGCCTCCTCCAGGACTCCTTTCCGTATCAACGAAACAAGTGCTCCTTTTCCTTCACCACATGGAAACTATATCAAGCGTTGTTTGGTCCTAATAGTCACTTATAGTGTACAATATTTTTATATATGTTGTGCATATTATGCTATTTTTATCACTATTTTGTTGCTTGTTTTGCGTCATTTGCCTTGCAGCCTCTATGGCTTGTTCATCGCTGGGATGGCTGCAACAACAGGATGTGCTTTGGTGCCCGCAGCCCTTCTGCATCAACTTCAGTCGGAGGTGCCTAACATTGGGGTATTCACACAAAGTGATCTTGTCTCTTGCCCTCACAAGCTTGGTGTTTCTATTGTTCTCATATGTTCTCATGTTTGTAAACCTCGAAGGCTATTCCTTCACTCGTAGCAGGACAAGCTCACTTTCCTTTTCTATCTCATTTCACATCTACACTGGACTTGTTGAGCTTCAAGAGTCTTTTTTCCCCGACAGGTAGGAAAGACTGCTTTGCCGGTGCGAAACCTAGAAATCACAGTCTTTGCCCTTTTGGCTTTCTGAATCAAACCATGTAAGCTTCTGCTAATGAACAATATTTGACTACGACAACTATTGTCCTATGACCTATGGTGACTATGGTATTGAACAGAGAAGGACTTGAACATTCTCGGACCTGTTTGGACATTGTCAATTGCGACTTCTCGTTTCTCAGGTCTTGCGGCAAGAGGCCCCAGAAGTCCAAGACACAGCAGCTCAGGCAGCTCGGAAAGAACCCGAAGCTCTACCGCATTTGGATCCGCATCAATCCCATCCACATCCAACACATCCAGCACCTGTCATGCGCCCAGAAAAGGGGTAGCCGCAGACTCCTGATTCAGTTTGATGAAGTTCCATAGAGAAGCTACAGTTTGGCATCTAAGCGGGCGAGGTGGCAGCTAAAGCGCCAAAGCCACTGCGGCCCAAGGATGGAGGCGATCTCAAAATCTTGATTCAGATGATTCAGCACCTCACACATTTCCATCATTTTGCATTTCGGTTCCACATTTTGCATCATTTTAGCATCATTTGCATTCCACATTTTTTCGATCTTTTTAGCATCTCTGCGAAATGTTGGTGAGGTGCTCGACCGATTGTCATCGTGAAGCACGCAGGTGTGAGCACGGAGGATTCTGTTGCATCCTCGGTGTATGCAATCAGTGTGTGTTGTGCGTGAAGGTGATGCAAAGTGTGTAGTAACTGACAGTACGATGTAATTAATACACGCTAATCCCTTCCTCCTAATACTAACCCCCCCTAATACAAAACACGGCAGGTAGTTTTTAGTATTAGGGGGGTATTTATTATTAGGGAACCAAATCGAAGTCATGTTAATTAATTAATTAAATTTCCTTATATAACGCAATTAAAATATTGCCAAAAATGGCAGTTCGAAGCTTACCCCTAATACTAAATTAAAACCCTTAATACTAAAAACTATTTTTTCCGATCTCAAAATCAATTAAATTTCCTTATATAACGCAATTAAAATATTGCCAAAAATGGCAGTTCGAAGCTTACCCCTAATACTAAATTAAAACCCTTAATACTAAAAACTATTTTTTCCGATCTCAAAATCAATTAAATTTCCTTTATATAACGCAATTAAAATATTGCCAAAAATGGCAGTTCGAAGCTTACCCCTAATACTAAATTAAAACCCTTAATACTAAAAACTAGCCCCCCTAATACTAAACACCCCGGGATGAATTAGTTTTTAGTATTAGGGGGGAGAACCCACAAATGGTAGGTTGATTTTTGAATTGTTTTTTAAAGGGGATCAATTAAAAGTCAAATTGGCCAAACTGAAATTTTCGGAAATTGGAGATGGATGCCTGTTTTTAGTATTAGGGGGACGTTTAGTATTAGGAGGAAGGGATTACGTACCCGTTTCCCACAACTTGAGGTGGATGGCCCACCACCGCCACCTGGAGCTAGACATGCCAGTGTAGGACGGATTGTATCACTAAGCCTTTTTGCTTTTGCTGAAAAAAGTGCCTTGTAGCGTTATTGGAGATGCAAGCAAACCTCCTTGATGATCCTTCATAGCAAATTGCAAACAATCTCTCCCTAGCATCAAGATTCGTTCTTGATGAACTAATACACAGCATGCGGTATGAAAGAAACTTGTCTCAAATTATCAGGCACAGTGGATGCCGTCGAGGAGGCCCAATGGGTGCCAGAGTTGATTCATGGTGTCACAGAGACATGCTTTCCAGAGCCGTAGAGCCGCACCTCAGGGTACCCAGACCACTCCAGAAGGATCTGTCCAACCTGTCCCTGCTGAAGCCGCAGCCGCAGTGCCTTGGCTTCGAGTCTACTGACGGAACCTTTCTACAGCTGCTTCAAAATGCAAAGGCTTAAACAACTTGAGTAGATACAAAATGAATCAAAATGATACCACACTTCTGGCACCCACATTCCAAATTCCAAAGATATATACCATGTTGATCAATTTTGGAGGATGCAGTGAATGCAGCTAGACCAGAACCTAAACTCAGGCTGCGCCATCAGCTCCCCCATCTGTTTCTGCGGCAGCTCCTAGTGGGCCAGGGCCAAATACAGGACAGCAGCGTGGCAGCGTCAATGGCGTTTTACGATTGCCAACTTGTTTCACTCCCTTGCTTTGGCATTCTCTGCCAAATAACCGTGCAATTGCATCAGAGACCATCAGAGACTATGGAGGAGACAAGAACAAAGCTGAATCCTGGCAGCATCCACAACCTGTTGGGATACTTAATTTGATGGTCTTGACTTGACTTTCTAACTGAAGATTCCAGTTTGCAAACAGATTTGACATGATTTGACCATATTTGACCAAGATGGCCGGAGCTCTGAGGTCATAACTCCTATTGGAATGGCCGCTTTCAGCGGTTTTGCGCAGCCCGGCTCACCTGACCAGATGCGCCTTGGCCGTTCAGTCTGACAGCTGAGATCAGCTGAGTCTGCGAGCACAGAATCCCCAAATCAAACCTGAAAGCCGCGTGTGGAATAGCAGATTCAGGTGATTCTGACCTGTGACAGCTTAATGCAGCTTATAATAAGCAGCTTATATATTGCTTATATGATTTGTTGTTGACAGCTATTGCCATAGCTATTCTGCCTTGCTTCGCAGTTTTCTCGTAAGGAACTCCACGGACCATGGGCGCTTCGATCTTTTCGGGATGGACAAGCTCCTCAGCACACTTTGGGTAACAGAAAATGGTCCCCATATGTCCCCATCACATCCACAGCTAAGCCACGTTTGCCGGCAGTGTTTCTGTGGCTTAACTGGTCATGGCTGGTCAGGTTTACTGCAGAGAAGGACAGGGACAGGAAAAGGCCACGGACATCTGGGACGCCACGGTGTGATCACAGACCTGATGGCAATGGGATTTTTTCTGTAGCATCATCGCCCTGTTACACCAATGAATTTGTTGTCCAAATTTTGGAATGCGTTGTCACACTAGAAACAACATGATGTAGCAAGATGTAGCAAGTGTGATCAGTATTTTACAACATCTTTTGATATCTTTAATCTTTATTGATTTACCAGTAGTACCGCACAAGGCGGTGGCGGAAGTTTCAAAAATAGAAACCTATATATAGGAGAGATTGGTTGCTGTGAATCACGGATGGCAGAGCGAATCTACTGATGGACCGAAAGGTGGTTGGAGTTGTGCTTTTTGAAATGGTTGCAGTAGTCACCTCACCACAACTGCTGGATGTAGTGTGGTGTAGTGCAGTTGTAGTTGTTGTAGTGCAGTGTAGTGGAGTTGTAGTTGTAATGTAGTGTAATTAGCGTAGTGTAGAACATGATTGTGATCCATACGATTCTGCCAAGCCATGGCGCCGTCGCCTGGCACCCCGCTTGGGGGCGAGCGGGCTCCGCGGTCGCCCCGGCGTGGGCCGGCCGCAGATGCTGGAGGGCCTTCTGCGATGCTGGTGGATGGGGATGGGGCTGCCTCCTCTAGCCGGGCAGCTCGACGGGTCTTTTGCCCTGTGCCGGGGTGTCCGGCCTCTGACCCTACGAAGGCCTATGGGTGGGCAAACCAGACCACTATGCGGGCCCACATAGATGCCCATCTCTCCGGTTCTTTGGCCGGTGAAGTCCCATCCACTTGGCTCCAGCAGCATGGCCGCACCCGGTGCTTAGTCTGCGGGCTTAGCGTGTCCGATAGACACGGGGTCCATCCGACTTGCCGCCCCGAAGCTCGAGCGGCCGCAGTGGGCCCCCACCCTCCTGATGCTGGGGGCGGGGCTGCTTTGCCAACGCTTGCAACCATCCAAGCCGGGCAGACGCCGACCTTGCGGCATGTGCCGGCCCTTGCCCGGCATACCTGGCAGCAAGCTTTGACCCGGGCTTTGGCCACGGTTGCCCACCGCAATGATGAGCGCTCCTGGACGGAGTTTCTGATGTTGCCTCAGACGGTGTTGTGCGCCCCGCCTCGTGGCGGGCGAAAACACCGCCGGGCTGCAGCGGCCTATACCCTTGACCGTCTGCAGAGGTGGCTTGACGGGGAACGCATGAGTCTGTGGGAGACCCGTCGCCAGCCCCCTCGCAACCACCCTGGGCCGTTGTCCCCAGAGGAACGGCGAGACCTGGCCACCAGTTTGGGCCGAGAAGGGTTTGACAAGAAGGCATGTACTGCCCTGCAATCTGAAGGCTTGTGCCCCTTCAACCCTGAGACTGCCAAGAGCCTGGAAGCCTTGCACCCCCGGAGCTTGCCGCCAGCTGTCACTCCTTTGCAAGACCTTCCTTTGGCGCCAGAGATTGTGCCTGAGTTGGTGGCCCGTTGTTTGCGTGCTTTCCCTGCCGAAACGGCCCCAGGGCCCACTGGGCTTCGCGTCCAACACTTGCGGGACGCTTGTGTGGCCGGTGGCACCGACGCCCTCTTGACACAGCTTGCTGCTGTGGTCAGCTTGGTGTCGCAAGGCATTGCCCCGACCACCATTGCGCCAGTACTGGCGGGGGCAGGCCTTGTCGCTCTACCCAAACCTTCTGGAGGGGTGCGTCCCATTGCCGTCGGTGAGTTGCTACGCCGCCTGGTGGGAAAGTGTTTGATGGCTTCGGTGCGGGAAGAGGCTCGTCACTACTTCTGGCCTTCGCAGGTTGGTGTTGGCGTCAAAGGGGGTGCAGAGAAGGCTGTGCACACAGTCCGGGCCTGGATGCAGAGGAACAGCTCCTCGTCCCAGAAGGTTCTGGTGAAACTTGACTTTGCCAATGCCTTCAATTGTGTGAGCCGTCAGGTTGCCCTTCGTGAAGTCGCTGCCAAGTTTCCTGGTCTGGCCCGTTTTGCCACCTGGTGTTACCAAATGCCCAGCAGCTTGCGGTTTGGTTCTTTCACTTTGGAGTCCCAGACTGGAGTACAGCAAGGCGACCCTCTCGGGCCCTTGCTCTTTGCTGCAGCCATCCACCCATTGGCCAGCACATTGCGGGCCCAGGGCCTGGACCTGGCCATCCACTACTTAGACGATGGGGTGTTGGCTGGAGACTTGGGCGCTGTTGCGGCGGCGCTAGCCCACGTCCAGCAGCAAGCCTCCAGCATGGGCTTGGTGCTCAACTTGGCTAAGTGTGAGGCAGTTGCAGTTGGTGGCCTTTGTCCTGCAGACCTTGCACCGCATTTTCCTGCTGCTTTGCTGTGTCACCCTGATGGTTCTCCCAGAGTTCTCCACAACTTTGAACGGCCTTCAGTGACGCCCACGCTGCTCGCCGAGCTGAGCAAGCCAATCGGCTGCTGGAAGCGCTGGCTTCCTTGGAAGACAGTCAGGTTGGCTTGCGGCTGCTGCGGAGCTGTGCCGGCTTCGTACGTCTGGTGCACAGCATGCGCTGTAACCCTCCTGGGGTTCAGCAACATGCTTTGGCTACTTTTGATCAGATGGTGCGGACTTGCTTTGGTGGGCTGACTGGTTTGCATTTGACAGCATCACAGTGGCAACAAGCTGGGCGCAGCCTTGCTCACGCTGGCTTAGGTTTGCGCTCCACTGTGCAACATGCCCCAGCCGCATATCTGGCGTCTCTGGGTTCTAGCCTGAGTGCTTGTGCTGAACCCGACAGTGGGTTCTCCCCTGTGGAGGTGCTCACTGCGCCTGGGGCCCTTGATGCTTTGCGCAGTCTGAACTCTCAGTTGGACGGTGGCAGCCAGCTCTGTTTGGAAAAAGCTCTTGCTTTCAACCAACATGCCCTTTCCGCTCGTTTGGATACTGCTTGCTGGGAAAAGCAGCTTGCCGGCGCTAGCCCCGCTGAGCGGGCCTCCCTTCTGGTCCGAAACCGGTTTGGGGGCCAGGGCTTTCCTAGCTGCCGTGCCATCGGGTCCTACCCGCATGGAAAAGGCAACTTTTGTGGCTGAGCTTCGTGTGCGGCTGGGTGTTCCTGATGCTCCCACCGATGCCTGGTGCCCCCGCTGCGATGGCATTCTTGACCGTCTCTCCCATCACGCTGGTGTTTGTGTCGCTGGTGGAGAACGAGCACAGCGGCACTACGCTGTCCGAGATGTGGTCCATGCTTGGGCTGGGAAAGCTGGCTTGAGACCCGAAAAAGAGCGTCCCGGGCTTCTGCTACCCCAGTCCCCTGATGACACCCAGTCGGCTCGTCGCCGTCCAGCCGATGTCTTTCTGCCAGCGTTAGCTGGAGGCCCTGCTGCACTTGATTTCGCCATTACGGCGCACCAGCGGCAGGACACTCTTGCTTTGGCCAGCAGCAGGGCAGGTGCTGCCGCGGAGGCGTATGCCCGACAGAAGGAGGCCCATCTACACACTGCGCAGGCTTGTGCCTCGCAAGGGGTCTCCTTCGTTCCCATGGTCGTCGAAACCACTGGACATTGGGACGTTGGCGCGGCCCGGGTGCTGCGCCATATAGCCACTGCGGTGGCGGCTCGCACTGGTGATCTGGCGGATCATGTGCACACCTCGATGCTGCAGGAGCTCTGTGTGGTGGTCAGATCCTTCCGGGCCCGGGCGGCTTTGAGGCGTCGCAGTGAGTTGGCTGATGCATAGGTCCTTCCGGTCGTTTCTTTATATTTTGGACGTTTTTCCTGTGGATTCTCCCGAGGAGTTCTGCTCACGTCTGCGCCCTCTGCGCTTTTGCATGTTGAGTGTCGGACCAGCGTGGGTGTAGTTGTTTTCCTTTCTTGTGCCATCTCTGCCCACAGCTGCTTTTGTCCGCCTCTGCTGCTGGCTGGCTGTTGCACAGTTTCTTTTTCTGCGGCCTATGTGCAGTTGTTTTGCTTCTGATGTTGGCCTTTAGCCATCAGTGTGGGGCCACTCATCCGGAGGTTTTTTTTAAGAAGTTCCGTGCAGCCTCACCGGCTGTCCCGAATCCTTTGGTGATATACTAACCACGAAGTCCAGACCATAATGTTCGTGGTCTTCATGATTCTTCATGCCCTGGTAAGGCCCTATTGAAAACATTTTGTGATGCGTAGTGTAGATGCGTTGTAGTTGTAGTGTGGTGTAATTAGTGTAGTGTAGTGCAGTGTACTGACGTGTTGCGTACTGTAGGTCTAGTGTAGTGTAGTGTAAAGTAGTGTAGGTGTAGTTGTAGTGTAATGTCATGCAATTAGTAATTGGTGTAGTGTAGCGTAGTGCACTGTAGTGGTAGTTGTAGTTGCAGTTGCAGTTGTAGTTGTAGTGTAATGCAATGTAATTGGTGCAGTGTAGTGTTGTGTAGTAGTTGTGTAGTTGTATTTGCATTTGTATTTGTAGCGTATTGCAGTGTAATTCGTGTTGTAGGTAGTGAAGCGTACTGCAATGTACTTGTAATTGTAGTTGTGGCTGTGGTAGTTGTAATTGTAGTTGTAGCTGTGGCGGTAGTATTACTAGTAGTAGTAGTAGTAGTCGTCGTCGTAGTAGTAGTAGTAGTGAGTAGTAGTAGTAATTAGATGTAATTAGTACTAGTAACTAGTAGTAGTAATTAGTACTAGTAATTTGTACTAGCAATTAGTACTAGTAATTAGTACTAGTTATTAGTACTAGTAATTAGTAGCAGTAGAAATCAATAGTACTAATTAGTAGTAGTAATTAGTAGTAGTAGTAGTTAGTAGTAGTAATTAGTAGTAGTAATTAGTAGTAGTAATTCGTAGTAGGTAATTAGCAGTGGTAATTAATAGTAGTAATAGTAATTAGTAGTACGTAGTAATTAGTAGTAATTAGTAGTAATAATAATAATGTAGTAGTACTTAGTAGTAGTAAGTAGTAGTAATAATAAAATAGTAGTAATTAGTAGTAGGAATGAGTAGTAGGAATTAGTAATGGTAATAGTAAGACTTAGGAGTAGTAATTAGTAGTAGTAATAAATAGTTGTAATTAGTAGTAGTAATTAGTAGTGGTAATTAGTAGTAGTAATTTGTAGTAGTAATTAGTACTTGTAAGTAGTAGTAATTAGTACTAGTAATTAGTAGTAGTAATTTGTAGTAGTAATCAGTAGTAGTAAGTAATAATAGTAGTTAGTAGTAGTAATTATTAGTAGTAATTAGTAGTAGTAATTGGTAGTAGTAGTAGTAGTAGTTGTTGTTGTTGTTGTGGTTGTTGTGGTTGTTGTGGTTGTTGTGGTTGTTGTGGTTGTTGTGGTTGTTGGTTGTTGGTTGTTGGTTGTTGGTTGTTGGTTGTTGGTTGTTGGTTGTTGGTTGTTGGTTGTTGGTTGTGGTTGTGGTTGTGGTTGTTGTTGTTGTTGTGGTGTATTTAGCGTAATGTAGTGATTAGATTTAATTAGTGTAGTGTAGTGTAATTATTTGTATTTGTTGTTGTAGCAGTAGTGTAGTGTAGGGGCAGTTGCACTTGTAGTTGTAGTTGTCTATTTATCTATCTGTCTATCTGCAATCTTGAAAACGAAGCAATTTTGCGGAAGGCTTCCTCAATTTTTGAACTTGAAAAAAACCAAAAAACGCATTGGAAATGTGCTTTGCGCCACAAAAGCGTGCAATTTTTCATCTCTCATCTGGCCGAAGCAATTTTGCGGAAGGCTTCCTCAATTTTTGAACTTGAAAAAAACCAAAAAACGCATTGGAAATGTGCTTTGCGCCACAAAAGCGTGCAATTTTTCATCTCTCATCTGGCCAGATGGCTCCGCACCCGCCGCTTTAGCGAGCCTACTTTTCGATCCTCCGGAGCCACAAGTCATTGGAAAAACGCAGTGTTTTGCGACTTTTCTACCTTTTCGCGCACCTGCATCTTCTTTCTTCTCACTCTTTCTCTTCTCTGCTTATCTCATCGTCGTAATTTTCTCTTCTCTGATCTTCTCTCTTCTTCTCTTCTCTTCTCTGACTGTTCCAACCTCTGCTTTTCCATCTCTCCATGTTGTCGGAAGTTTGACTTCTAAACTTCCTTCAGTTAATTTCAACTCATTGTAAACGTTGTAAGCGACGGTTCGTTTTTTATTCAAAACGTTTGTCAAATCTGTTTCCTCTGACTTTCTCCATGGCGTTTGGCTGTGAAGATGGCAGGCTTCAAGCTCAGATGTTGGCCGAGCAGATCCAGGAGTTGACTGTGTAGACCTTGTAGACCGTTACTGTTTTGTGTGTGTGTGTCCAACGCTACTAGCTCTATCATATTCAGCGCTTGCAGATGCGTCTTTGTTCTCTGTTACTTCAGATATGCCTTGAACAAATTGCAGTCTGTGTGATGTCTGAGACGGCAATACTTGACTGATACTTCGTTTTTCCTTTGCTCAAGTCAAGCACAAAAAATATAGTGCAGAAATTCAAATTTGAACCACATGCTTCGAACCCGCCATGCTGCTGCATTTGTCTTCACCGTCGGTACCGCGAGGCCTTGCATGGAACAAAATCAAACAACATCAAACAATTACAATGTAAATGATGCTGCTGTTGAAATGCATATTTGCCGTGTTTTTGTCGAGGCGGAACCATCTTCATTGGCAGATGGCAGAAGATCTTTCCTCCAGGCCGGGCTGTTGAGCACTGCATTATTCATACGATCATTTTGCTAGATGCACCTGGATGCAGCCGTTGTTTCAGAAAGGTTTTTACTCAGCCAAACACGGCATCACGTTCTCACCAAGGTCTGGTTTCCAGGCCAGGTGCTCGCACTTGCCTCCAATCTTTTGACAATTTCGACTTTTTCCTGATCCCCCTCATTTGTTTGGTTGGCATCGATGGAATGGCAACATCTCTCACTGCATCATCTACGTCTCCCTAAAGGTCTCTCAACAGATCTCCCTATCCTTGGTTTGCCGCACAGCACTTCTCACATCTATACCGTTCAGATCCATTCAGCAATTTCTGCAATTTCTGTATTGGGTTTCAGGCCTCGGGTACCAGTACGAAGGTTTGCCGGATCTGGGCTGGCTCCTAAGACCAAAGTCTTTGTCAGTGCAAAGCGCTTCGACATTTTTGTTTTTTGTTTTGACTTCGTGGTGAGTTTGTTTTTTGTGCTATTTTGTGCTTATTTGCATGCAGAGGAGGTGAGCTTTTGAAGAACTTGTTGAATTGTGCTTGTGCTTACAAAATCTGACAAATATTTACAAATCACAAGCCAAAATTCCGAAGCCATAGCCTCAAGCTGCGCGCCGCAGCTATGGCAATGGCTCGGGGTCGACCGGGACCCCCCAAATCAAAGGCAGCGGTTGCGAAGCCTGTTCCGTATCACTTGAAGCCCAAAGAGGCCAAAGAGGCCGAGGCCGAGGTTCGGAACCAGAGGCCCAAGTCACCGAAACTTTCATCGCGACCGGGAAGTGCTGCTATTGATGCTGCAGATCTTAGAAGGGTGGTTGTTGTAGCGGAGTCGCCTAGGCCAGCCAAGGCTTGGGCTGATTATTTGAACCGAGCACTAGAGAAAACAGACTCTGGGCTCGCTAGCAGATTGATTAGATTGGTTGTCCTGGGAGAAGGTGCAATTTTAGAGCCTGGAGTCTGTGATGACAACCATCCTGCAGTTGCGGAACTGCAAGGGGTTGCGAAGAAGAACAATGTGATCATAGCGGCTGGATCCATGGTTGAACGTGATCCATCTGGTCAGTCGTGGCAGACCTGTGCCCTGGTCGGACAAGATGGCCTAATAGGTTCGTACCGCAAGCAAATGCTAGGAGCCCTTGAGGCAAAATCTCCCAGTCTGGGGATTTTTACAACGCCCATGGGTCGAATCGGGATTCTGATTTGTCTAGACATTGAAGATGACACGCTTCTGTATCAGACAGCCCAGAATTGTGACATCATTGTGAACCCAGCCCACATTCCACACCGCGGACATGGACAGCGCTCCCATGCACTGCAGCCGGTTCAAAGACGCCTCCAATGGTGGGCATTGGCTTGCAATGTGAGCATTGTACGCTGTGATTTGCGGCCTCCTATGGGCATGGGCACATCTATGGTCGTGACCCCCTGTGAGACTTTCCTGGCGTCAGCCCATTTGAGCCTTTTTGAGGCAGCAGTGTCATTGAAAGCGAGGCAGTTCTACTCTTGGTATGCTTCACGGCATCGGTCAGAATTCTTGGACAACACAGGAGCACATTCCATCAATACCTTGCAGGATCGACATCCAAAAGATGCCTGGCAGGCCTTACCACAGCCTGCTTTTGGATTACAACTTGAAGGTTGCGCTCAAGGGCTGTCGTTCCACCTCAAGGGTGAACTCTTGCATCTGATCATTCTGCCTGAGCCTCCAAACGAAATTTGCTTTGACCAGTCTTCAAACTTGCTAATTCGTGATTTGAAAGGAAACGTGTGGTCACTCCGTGCCCATCACAACAATATCCCGGTATCATTTAAAGACATCCTTGGCCCACAGACAAATGATACAGAAGGGAATTCGCCACCTGTGATTGCAAAGCAATCGAGCACATCGAGCACATGCCCATGTATATCTTTTAGATTCCTAAAGGAACTATGGCAACGGTTGTTCTCAGTGGGTTTTCCGATTATTCCTCGAATTCCATAATAGGCTTCCATAGAACCTTCGTCAGCATAATGAGATCCGTCGGCGAGGTGGATACCGTATGACGAATTTGGTTCGTTTTGAAAACAAACATGCCAAGCATTCGG